GAGAGAGAGAGAGAGAGTTTTGTTCCATTTGTTGATACGAGTGTGAGAGAGAGAGAAAGAAAGAGAGATAGAGAGAGGGAGGCGGGGGTCCTACCAGAGAGAGAGAGAGAGAGAGAGAGAGAGAGAGAGAGAGAGGTTGAATGGCAAATTGCGGCCGCGATCTATTTCGCAGTTGGAAWGATTTTTTTTAATTTATTTAGCGTTTTCCTGGAAAGATCACAACAAAATCTATGAGTACTCCAATTTCAGGTTTTTTCACACATTCTTCTGAGAGTGAAAACTCACTGAATTTGGAGTACTTTTTAAGTTGGCCCACACATGGCTGAGTGGCAAAAATGGAAAATGTATGGAATTTGCGCGACAATCATTTCTTGGTCTAAATAATTTTTAAAAAATGTTCTAATGTTTTTCCTAAAAATAACACGACCTCATATATGGATTCTCAAATTTTCAGATTTTTTTACGGGTTTCTCCGAGCACAGAAAATCGTCAAAGGTGCCTCTTGCAAAACGCCTGTTTCGTTGCGCCTGACGTCCCTATTTTGAGAAAACGGGCCTCAACGCCTGGCCTGAGGGCCCTTACCCCATCCCCACTTCTTTTTGGGTCCAATTCCACCCGAGGACCGGTCCTTCCTTTTTCCAAAAGTCCCGGTTCTACCAGAGCTAGCTGTAGGTAGTCCACAATTTTGGCAAGGATAGGTTTCCCAATTTATTTTGCCCCCTAAGAAACCACTTCGGGTCCTGGTCGCCCGCCGCCAAAAATGCGACACCTTGACACAGACGCCGAACCCAGCAGACCACAGTTGGAATGATTTTTGAAAATTTATGTAGCGTTTTTCCTGGAAAGATCATAAAAAAATCTATGAGTACTCCAATTTTCAGGTTTTTTCACTCATTCTTCTGAGCGCGAAAACTCACTGAATTTGGAGTACTTTTTTAGTTGGCCCAAGCATGGCTGAGTGGCAAGAATGGAAAATGTGCTGAATCGGCGTGACGATTATTTCGCAGTCTAAATGATTTTTTGTAAATGTTCTATTATTATTTATGGAAAGAGCACAACCTCATTTATGGATTCTCAAAATTTCAGATTTTTGTGCATGTTCGTCTGAGCACAAAAAATCGCTAAAGTTGTCACTTGCAAAACGCCTGTTTCGTTGTGCCTGACCTCCCTGTTTTGAGAAGACGGGGCTCAACGTCTGGGCCTGAGGGCCCTTTTGCAGTTCACATGCCCTGACTTCTTTTTCGGCTCCGTTTCTACCCGAGGACCAGTTCAATGCCCCCCACTTCTTTTCGGGGTCCACTTCTACCCGAGGACCGGTCCTTCGTTTTTCCAAAAGTCCCGGTTCTACCAGAGCTAGTTGTGGGTAGTCCGCAATTTTGGCAAGGACCGGTCCCCCAAAAATTTTTCCCGCCTAAGAACCCACTTTGCATCCTGGTCGCCCGCCGCCAAAAATGCGAAACCTTGACACAGACGCGGAAGCCCACTATACCGCAGTCTAAGGGCTGCGAACTATTTCCATGTGCAAAATTGTGGACATACCCAGTCCTGCAGGGCCTTTGGTCCAGAGGACGAAATTATGCTCATGCCCAGCAACCGGGCTGGCAAATTATGGGTATACCCACACCCAGTGGTGGGTCTTGGATGGCCCACCATGAAATTATGCTTGTGCCCGCCAAGTGGATGGTTGTGGCCCAATGGCTCCCAGGTATGAGTTTTTTTTTTTTTTTTTTTTTTCTTTTACGCCCCCTACAGTGTTAATGGTGCTGATAAGAGCAGACACCACTACCACCCGGGAGACGGCTCCATCTATTGGTGGGGAGCATCACCTGCTGGAAAGCGGGTCCAGCGTCCCATTTACATCAGATCAAGCATGCAGAGTGTTCCTGCCAGCATTGATTGTCGTGGGGTACATGGGATTGACTGAGCAGGCATTTTGGGGCAAGGGAGGGACCTCTTCACCTTGAGAACGGCGCCAAATACTAACACTCTCATCCTGGTTCCTCCCTCCCCCCACCCTATTTCTTAAAACCAGAGATACCTGAAATACCTGAATTTGTAGTATGTCAGAAAAAGAAACATTGTGGGGGAGTCCTGCTAGCATTGATTGCTCTGGCATCCTAGGGATTGACTGAAGAGGAAGTAGGGGGAGGGGGGGACCTCTTCACCTTGAA